AAATATATATATATATATATATATATATATATCCATCCAGATGTATGGAAACAAAATATATTGTACCCCCAAAGGACATGTCTACAAAGGCAGTAAGACAGAGCACCTTGAATGGATAATCTCACATGTACGAATATTTCACAGTAAAAAAACAGAAATACCTTTTCAGTCATCACAACAACAAATCAAAATCATTAGGAATAAAAACAAAATGAAACAAACCACCAAAAGACTTCTAAATTATACAAAATAGTTGTTATGTATTCTATTAATAGTATTTATGATCTGATTATTAATACCTCAATCTCTCTCAAATTTTTCAAAAGGAAGGTAAAGAGGGAAAAATCAATTGGGAGTTTCAAATTTAAAGTTAAGTTACATTTTTATTGCATGTTCATGCATATAATCAATGTCTATCTGTTCCTGATGCCAGGACATCATACATGTCAACTAAGTTCAAAAAAGCCCCCAAAGTAATGAAAGTCAATTATGGAGCATTCCAAGTCTACTAATTACATATAGACTATAAATTACTTAATTATGAACTTTAATTTACCTAAACTTTTCAGCTCTATCTCCAAGAATATATCGCCTAAATTCCCTTTGATATCAACTGCTCACACAAAACAATTCTGGCTCTCTTCCCCCCTAATCAAGATCAGACCATCACAATTTTTTACTGGTTACAGTGCTTCAATGATAGAACATGTTCTTTTCTTTACAGCCTACCAACCACTTTCACATACATTAATTATTTCATTTACTCTTCCAACAATCCTATGAGATAAGGCAAGAATTATCATCTTTATTTAATGGCCAAGATAGAGATTTAAAGATGTTAAGCAGGTAGCTGGTACAAAGTTCACTGCTAGAAAGTAGCTGAAGGAAGACTAGAATCCACATGTCCTGATTTCATGTCCAATTTGTATCCCACAATGTCACACAAATAAAAAGTACTGATAAAAATTACTGAACTTAAGTGCTACACTTTTCTTACTTAATCAAACCCTCTGTAAATAAATTGAGAATTAAAGTTAAGATTATAAAGCAAATGCAAACAGTAAAGAGAATAGTCTAAACCATATCTCCTTTCTATAACATACCTTAAAAAACAAATATAATGTTTAAGAGCAGTTCAAATACTACAATAAAAACACCTTGAAGTTAAAATAATTCTACTGTATTCACCCTATCACACCACACACAACAAACTCTGCATAATGCATGCTAGTAGACAATAAATGAAATTATTATACTGTATTTAGACAAACTTAGAATAAAAATTTCAAAAAACCTTCACTTTTCCTAGTCTTAACCTCCTCATGGTTTTGCTATACTCTAGTCTAGGAGTGTCCACAGTGGAGTGCACATGGCAATCCACTGAAATATGGAAAGAAATTATTAGAATGCTGTCTCCATTTTTTTAACCTGAAAATAAGAATTTTACTAAATTTACTGCATGAACTGATACTGTCACCCTCACATAAACTCAAAAATATACATATAATTGGAGTGGGGTAAGCTCAAAATATTTTCACGCAAGGGATTCCTATTCAAGAAAATTTAGAGACCGTTGCTACAGAGAAGGTACTAGGAGACAGATGACTCTAGACTGCATCAAATAATCAAAGAGAGAATCTACTTAAAGGTATTCAATATCCTGCAGTGTATATATAGAAAAAAAGATTTTTCAACTGTATTTACATAATCCATACTGATATAAACATAACTTACCTCATCCTGGACTCCACTGGTAGTAGTCAACTTGCTCCCATCAGTAATTGTAATAATTATTGCTGGCTCCAAGAAAAAGGGGTTTCTTCCCTAATGTCAAAAAAAAATTAATTATATTAAGGTCTATACATTAGCTTAAGTTTTCTGAGTAAAAAGTCAATTTTCATAATGAACAAAATAAACTGATGAACAAAATAGATCCAGAGACATAGAAGCATGGAATAGACTGAGGGGTCTCAGAGGGAAGGCAGGTAGGGGAGTGGGTGGGGAGAGATTAATCAAAGAACTTATATGCTTATATGCATAACCTATGGACACAGACACTGGTATGGGGAAGGCCTGGGGTGGGGTGGATGTGGGGTGGGGAGGATCGATGGGGGAAAAGGAGGACATCTGTATTACTTTCAATAATATAGGTAAAAAATAAATTTATATTAAATTAAAAAGCCAATTCTCAGAACAGTGCATAAATCTCCCTTTTTGTTGTTAAATTTTAAACATAGTACATAGCTCTTGTACATTAAAATTAGAAGGAAACAAACTAAACAAAGGATAACCTTAAAGGAGTAGGATTTAGCGAAAAAGATTTTTCACTTCTGGCGTTTTAATTTTTACAGTCAGCATTTATATTTATGTAACTAAAGGTATTTAATTGAAAGTATTTAATTTCTTAAAAGGAATTCCATAGTTCAATTCTAATAATTGAACAGATTTAGATATTACAAATTAAAAGGATAGTATTTTCTGAAAAACTTCTTAAGAAGGCAGGCAAAGTGGTAGGTGAATATTACCATGCAATTTAATCTAAGAGCTGGTCCCATGGAAACACTATGGCTACTCTGAGCTTAGTAAAATTAATAATAGTCCAATATGAAAAATTAAAATTAAGAAGGATGGTTACTTAAAGGAATTACTTGGCGAAGAGTACAAAAATAACAGTAGCAGTGATAATGGAACACAGTGGCATAAAGCTCTCAAATGCTCTTTATGTAGGGTGCAATTCTTCAATAACTTCTATTCAAATCTGTGTTCAAGTCATTCTATGAGTACTATAATGAATTCTAGGTGACATATTTTCTGAGGGACTCAGATAAACATATGCTTATCTTTTACATATAAAGTTCTCATTTGAGGAATTAAGCACATTCAGTATAAAACCAAAGGGAAGAAGTTTCAAGAGAGTAAACCTGGTGTTTGAAATCAAAGGTATCAAATTCTCAGCTACTAACAATGTTCAAGGACAGAATGAAGTTTTATTGGATATGATGTTAAAAAGCATATAGTAAATTTTAATGTGGATATGAAGCACTTGGAGATCCTGATAAAATGCACGTTCTAATTCAGTAGGTCTGGAATGGAGACTAGTGTTCTACATGTCTAACAAGATTGCAGTCCAGGAGATTCTAATGTGCACAAACCATACTTAAAATAGAAAAGATGTAGAAGGGTTTTACATGCATGTGCTATTCTTTGGGTCTATAACCTTTCCCTTACACATTTATATAACTCTCAATCACTAGCCTATTACAGTACATACTCAATATTTGTTGAATTTACAAACACTTTCTCATACAGTAATTGTGATTATAACCTAATCATCATAAAGTACTGAGGGTAGGGGGTCTGGCAGATTACATTTCTTAATCAAGTTACATAACTTCTAAGCACACATATACATTTTTCAAACTGGTGTCCAGGTGGAGAAAGCTTCCTCTGGTCAAATAAAATAAAATGTTAAATATAACCTCTAGAGGATTTCAAATGCACAGTAGCAGCCAAACGTTACAGAAGCTTTCCAGGAATAAAACATGAATTTACCTTCCCTTCGTCCTCTACAACATTCATGGTAAATAGGACACATTTTTGGAAATACTACATTACACTACATTGCCTCTCATACCATTCACTCCCAACATAAATAATAAATTCTAATAACGCAGGTCTTCTCATGGATCTAGAAACAGACAATGTTTATTCCCATCTCAGAGCTCTGACCTGTTCCCTCAAGTAGAATGCTTTTCCTTTTCCCTGCCCACAGCCCATCCAATTCCTAATCATTCCGTAAGGCCCAGTTTAAGTCTTCCTCTTCTTCCATGAAACCTTCCCTGATTACTCTGGCCTTAAATAATTACACCCTTCTCCTTCTCTAAATTCTAATAGCAATAGTTTTCAAACCTAAGTTAAATAAATATAATATGTTTATATTATATTTAATATAGATAAATAGAACAAAATATAAATAAAATATTTCCTCAAATAAAATTGGATTTAGAGTGGTTTCATGGAGTACATTTTGAATACCACTTTCCCACAACATTTATCCTAACAACTTATTTTTAATTTAAATATATAACGCCTTGTACAACAATATGAATATATTTAACACTACTGAACTCTATGCTTAAAAATGGTTAACATGGTAAATTTTGTTGTGTTTCTACTACAAATTTCTAAAAATACACCATCTTGTATTAGTTGTTATTGTTTCATATGTTTCAATACATTGAAGGCAAGGATCATGTCATATTTCTTCCTCAGCCCTGAGCACAAAATATTTAAGCATTGGGTACTTAAGTATTCATTATACACTAATTATATAGCCTAATACAAATCTGTCCAAGTTCACAGAACCATTTAAAATTACTAAAACTTCAATAAGCTTAAAAAATGCTATCTTTACTTCAATATAAATGAGTGCTTCCCAAACTTAAAACTTAACTCATTAACTTGCTAGGCTACATGGGTACATGACCTCCCTCCTATATGTCTGGCCATCACTGTCCATTCACATTCACGTTTGTCATTCAAACACTTACTGAGTGGCTACCATACAACAGGCACTGTATTAGGTGCTTAACATATAATCTCTACTCTCATACATAATAAATATATATACCCTTGTACATATAACAATAACTCTCCTCTCCTGGTCTCTACAAATATCATTTTAGCTAAAATTTTGGCAAAGGGAGATAAAGAAAACCAGTATGTCCTATTACCTTCAAAGCTACTGTATTTTTATTCCATCCCTAAGCTAAAACTACTTTGGCTGACTTGCTGCCTTTCAAAAATAAATGAACAAATCTCTTAAAGCCACCATAGCATGGACAAAGACATTTTAACCTAAGTCAAAGTCACATTTTCTGACCAAAAGTTTGACATCCACCCATTCCTATTCCTGTATAAACATATTGAGAATTACGCCAGAGCAAGTTAAAACACATTCAAATTTAGCAAAAAGTCTGTGTCACTAAAATTTAAGTTTAATTCAAACACTAAATTCCAAGTTTACCATAGTCTTATACACATAGTACTCTCCCCACAGAGGCTATTCCTGAAAATACAATAATCATGTCCCAAATAATGATGATGATGATAATAATAATAATAATGACAAAGAAGTTACCTCAGCTGACCCAAAAAACTTGGTGAGGTAAGTAAATGTTCAGAGAGATTAAGTGATATAACCCAAAGTCACCTAGCTGGTAAATGGCAAAGCTAGAACGTTAATTCAACTCCAAATTACAAGGTCTTTCAGCAGCACCTGAAGGTTCTGTTGGTAGCAGATAACAATTCTACAACCAATCTTGATGATGCTGTATTCACCCAACAATGAATGGTGTTAGTCAGTTTGATTTAATATATTCTGTCTACAGTGAAATTAACTACAGTAGAACTATTGCTTTACTTGGTTTCCTGCTGCTGTGATTTCTTACTCATCAGTTCTTCTATATATAAATCAATATACCTTCCCCAACAAAAGCATACTGGAAGAAAACATATATCAGTGTTTACTTTTAAAAACTATATAACTTCAACTTTCAGACAGTAGATATACAAATACAAGATAAAATATTTTCTTTAATGGCTTTAAATTTTGGAAAATTTAGATAAAGATCAAAGGTAGGAAAAAAAGTAAAGAAAAACAGGATTATTTTCATTCTACCTATGGATTTGAGGTAGTTTCAAATCTTTACCTTTAATTGCAACTATTTTACATTTTTATTCTTAATAAGTATGTTTATAAAGTCACTCAATTGAGAAACAATCCATATTAGAATTTCCCTCAAAATTCACCTTGGTCATAAAGCTATAAACAGACTTTTGCGTAGTTATAAAATCTCAAATAAATAAATAAATAAATCAGCTCTGCTATGACAAAGGCAGCCAGTAGAGGGACTAAAAGTCTACTTTTGCCATTATCGGAATTAATCTCAAGATGCTTTACTCTGAAAGCAGTGGTTCTTGGCAAAGAAATCTATACATGTTACCAGAAAATATAGTGCAAAGTATAATATTCTACCTCTAGAGCTATTTGCTAATGGAAATCCTGTCACTTAGAAAATTTTATTTTAATATTGGTCAAAAGTCTAGGGTAAAAATTTTTTAGAAAGTAAAAATTTTCACTTAGGTTCTCTCAATAATTTAAAAATATCGCAGTGTTAAACAATTAAGGCATAATGCCAGTAAAAAAATTTAAAGAATATAATTAAAGTAAGTAGAACTTATCCACTAGAACCTGTTTCACTTTTGTTAAAAAAAAAAAGCTTTTTAAAATGTTAAAACATTTTGCAAAAATGTTTTGCAAATGTAAAAATAAGGCTAATTTCTCCCCAAATACAAACTAGCCTGGTTCTCAGAATCAGAATTTTTAATTTCCCCCCCCAAACTGTCAATGTATTGGGGGAGGAGCACAGGAATTTTACTATACCCTTAAACAGTTCTTAGCGATTATCTTCTGAAGCAAAAGGCAAGCAACCCTGGGCATTTAGAAAACTTTTAGTTGCTATTCTGCTATAGGACCAAAGGGATCAAGTTTTCTTTCACTGCCATCATGCTCCACCATGCTACCAGTTCCTTGAACAATCCCATAAGGATAGCCAAGTGCCTGTGTGTGCTACACTTTTCCCATGGCTTAAGGCTTCTGTGAGGAAAATGTGAACCAAAAGTGAGCTCTCTGGCTCTCTTGTGGTAGCATCTTCAGTTAATACTCACCTTTCACTTACTACCTAATTTGCTATATACGACGAAAGCTATGGCCAATAGCAATCAACAACAGATACTAAGATGTATAACATCTATCACCTAGG